AAGATGTGATCTATCTAGCGCCTTGGTTGGAGTTGAACTTTGGTTTTCGAACCGTTTCACTGGACAGTCGAATGATCAAAGCGAAATGCTTTAGGCATCTTTTGAGCATGTTCAGCTTCCAAAATTCCTGGAGTCCTACGGCATTCTCACAGAAAGAAAACATGGCTAGTCTAGAACTCTTTTTTTCTTGTAGAAAGCGATCAGTTCTTCCGATTGGGTTTGGAAAGGTTTCCTTTCTAAAGAAGTGGAGGAGCCTATGTAGAAGAAGCTGTAGAAGAGCACCACCACGGCACGGTTCAGGTCCGGGGATGAATTCAGCTGCAAGGATCGTGAATCTTCAAATTCGGGTTACTCTTTTCAGTCTGACGATCTGGTGAGGACGGCGCCTCGTGTTCACGCGCTGGGCCTTGTTCTTTAGAGGTCTATGTATTACTTAGGTTAGAGCTCCTTAAGCAAGAGCTAAAGTATTGTCAAAGTAGAAGAATCGAATAAGATAGATAGATATAGCATGTCAATCTTCTTCCTCTTCCAAATGCGTGCAACGCAATGTGCCCCGTACTAGCGATGATAACGGTCACACTGGATCAGCCGCCGTGACTTGAAGGTAATTGAAAAAGAATGTCGGGGCAACTATGTCATTTTCCCTTCCCGCTCTCCTGCTCCTTGCTACCTGTACCGTACAGTCTCAGAGCTCAGAAAAGGAGAGAGGCGAGCGAGCAAACCATACGCTCGTCTCCTGCTCTCAGCTTCTCCGGAAAAGAGAAAAAAACCTAGAAATAGAAAGAGTTGAGTCTTCCCCGTCTCCTTTCTGTAAGCGAACACCCTGCCTACCTTTCCATCGTTCCAGCTGCAGAGCTCTAATGGCGTTTCTCTATTTAGATTCTTCATAGCGAACTTAAGTAGAACAAGTAGACTACAATATGGCAGGTCATGTATTGCAAGAAGATTACCAAAGAATCCAGACTAGACACAATCTTTGTGATCCTTCTTCTTTTCTACACCCCTCTCTAGACACTTCTTCGAGGTTGGTGAGAACCGTTGAGCCATTGGCTTGCTGAGCTTCTCTGATTTGGGTAGATCACCCGCATCACCGAGAGCGACGCTTCTGTGGGATTCAACCCGGTTCGGCAAAGAGAGTTTGGTCCTGTAAAATGGATTAGCTCTCTCGCTGAAAACTCACTCCTCCGGTGCTCGCACATGCTTAGAATAGGCAGGGAACATGCGGAGCATGGTCATCAGTGGGAACACTGGTGACTAAGTCAATGTGGTAGTAAGACCTCAAAATTGCTTAAAGAAAGCTCTGGCTACCGTGAGTAGGAAAGGACGGTTATAGAATGCATTAGTAAGAATGTGTGAAAAGCTCTTTTCGAATAGTTGCGAAAGCGTAACTTCCATTCCATTATGGCATGAACGGAAGGAGATGAAACTACATTTCATGTGTAGATCTTCTGTCTTAATGCATTAGCTCCTTAGCTCGCACTCTCCTTTTGGATACAAAGAGTGCTAAGCAGTGGAGAAAAGGCATTGACTGCGAAAGCGTGCTATGTGTTCCGGAGCTGTGAGGTTGCATCAGCTGAATATTTAGATGTTGGAGAGCAAAGCTCCCCTTCGGGCGAAAGCCCATCCGCTATAGGCACATAAGTTGCCGCGGGTCTTCAGTGGAAGATGTCCAATCAGCTTCTCGCAACATGTGCGGTCTACCGTTGGTTGACACCTTTCTATTTCTGAGTCAGGACATCCTGGACTCGACTGTATCTGTGCACCGCAGAAGCAGTGCAGTTAGAGTTTCAGGCCCTTCTCTCTTAATAACTTTCACATTTCATCAATGTTCAAGGTGGTGGGATCCCCCAAAAGGGAACCTTCGGTTTCCTGAGCAAGAAGACGATCGGGAATACAGGTCCATTTCTGAAGTACCAAAAGCAAAATTCTTATCCAGCGGGTTCCTTGTTCTCATCAACTGTGTCCCGGACTCTTTTTGAAAAGCTCAAGGTTCCTTATTAACATGGAAAGTTTCGTGGGAAGATCTTACTAAGTAACAACAGAGGGAGTTCTCTGGACTTCGGCTACAGGACAACATTCCTATTCAGTTTCATACACAATCTCTGAATAGGAGTAGAATTCCTACAAGCAAGGGGTAAGTATACCTTTGTTTCAAAGCATAAGAAAAACCTCGTCAGCAAGGATTACAAAAATAGCTGACGTCAGGGAGCAAGAGCAATCCCAATATGTACGCACTTGCGTACACAGAGTCTGACACGAGAGCTTGTGTATTCATGTATTCATGTCTGACACAAAGCTAAATTGTTGGCCTAAAACTTCTCCCCTCCATTACAACTCTAATCCACTGGAGACTGGTGGCGGGCGAAGGTTGAAACCGAAGCAGGGACCAGGACTTAGAGAGATTCGACAAGGGAGAGTCGGCCCCGGTCCGAAAGGGAGTGGCCCATGCTCTATATAGCATAAGATAGGAAATAATGAAAAATCATTTCATTTTTTAGTTGGAACTTTAGGTGGTTCTCGAAAAAAGATAGCGAAAAAGATTATCCCTAAAGTCGAAACTAAGAGGAATGTATAAACCAATGCTTCCATAGATTCGATCGTGGTTTACAATTATAGCTTCCACACCTATTCGTTTTGGATCATTTACTAAAGAAATTCTCAATTGAGATTGACAATTTACTAACAATTTACTATTACTAACTATTACTATCTATATAGTATGTATATAGAATAGTATATATATAGTCATATCTTCTTACTATTCTATTCTATTTCTTATTTCTTCTATATTTCTATTGTATTATTCTTATTCTTCTTATGGTCTAATAGAATCCATTATTCTCTTTATATATATTTATACATAAAAAGAAGAAAAATATAGAAAGAAAATAGAAAAGAAATATATCTTTCTATATTAGTATATTCTATTCATATATTCTGAAATCTTTCATATGAAATAGAGAATAGATTCAATTCATATAGAAAATAGAAATTCTAGCTTCATTCTAGAAATTCACAAATTAGAAATACTAAATAGCTAAATACTATATATAAATCTAATAGAAATCTCAATTTATATACTCTAAAGACTAGAAAGACTAGAAGAAAAGAAAAAAGAAATAGAGGCAAAAGAATTTTGTATAAGACTACTTGTCTCCATGTAGTTGGATCTCCAAGTTTTTGGAATGCTCCAAATTCCACTTGAGCATCCAAATCTGGATCAAGACCGGCAAAAACATCTCTGAACAAGGTTCTGATGCTGTGCCAAATGTGTCCGAAAAAGAAGAGCAAAGCAAACGTAGCATGCCTAAAAGTGAACCAACCCCTTGGACTTCTACGAAAAACACCATCAGATTTCAAAGATTTCACCTAATTGGGCACGTCTAGCATATTTTTTCACAGTAGCAGGATCACTATAACTGACTCCATTGAGTAGAATTCAACAGTTACCCCTTCAACACTAGACCTGGATTATGCTCTTCTAAAAGGAACATCGGCCCTCACAATTCCATCTCCATCTACCAAAACTACCAGAAATGTTTCAAAAAGGTAGGCATACGACGTACAAAGAGTTCGCGCCCTTCTTTATCTCTAAATATGGGGTGCCCTAACCACCCAACAGCTATTCCATCCCCATTATCCATTGAGCCTGCTCTGAATAATCCCCCTTTCGCCGGATTATTACCAATGTAATCGTAAAAAGCTAATTTTTCTAGAATTTTCGACCAAGCTTCCGATAAGCTCAGATTTTTGGCTAGTCCGGCCCCAACTCTTCGATATATTTCTTGCTGGAAGTACCACTAAGATGGAATAGACCCGCTAATATGCCCAATGTACCTGCTGCAATATGATGAGAAGCTATTCCCCCCGGAACAAAAGGATCAAAACCTTCCGCACCCCACGCTGGATTTACAGATTGTACTTTTCCAGTTAGTCCATAAGGATCAGACACCCATATTCCAGGACCATATAAGCCTGTTACATGAAATGCACCAAAGCCAAAGCAAGCGACTCCTGAGAGAAATAGATGAATTCCAAAGATCTTGGGCAAATCCAAAGAAGGTTTTCCCGTACGTTCATCACAGAATCTTTTTCTAGGTCCCAATACACCCAATGCTAGATAGCTGCCAAGAAGCACAAGCCAAAAAATAAGATATGTGCCCCTGCCACACCTTCATAACTCCAAATGCCCGGATTCGTTATAGTTCCTCCCGAGATACTCCAACCCCCCCACGAATTGGTTATTCCTAAACGAGTCATGAAGGGTATAACGAACATGCCTTGTCTCCACATCGGATCAAGAACAGGGTCAGAGGGATCAAAAACCGCTAATTCATATAGAGCCATCGAGCCGGCCCAACCAGAAACTAGAGCTGTATGCATTATATGGACAGAAAGTAATCGACCGGGATCATTCAATACGACAGTATGAACACGATACCAAGGCAAACCCATGTAAATACCCCTTTCTGAAAAAGAAATAGACATTAAGTAACTTTATCGCATTGGAAAAGACTAAACCGTGTATTTCACCTGTTCGGTATATTTTGTATAGGAAAGGATTTCTATTTCTTTGCTACGCACCTTCTTTTCTTTTTCATGAATTTTTAATGAAATAGAATAGAAAGAATTTGAAATAGAAAGAGAAGGGAAAAATTTTCTTTCTTTCTATTTCTAAGAACAAAGAGAAACAGATCTTATTCTATACCCGATAAGTACCAATACGCAATGGGAGGATTTTGAGCTGAACTTCTGCATTTGCATTCATCTAAAAAACATTACAAAACAAGTAACAAAAACAAGGACAACATGCCCTTAAACAACAAAGAAGAACAACTATCATCCTCAAGAATATCAAAAAATTATTGAGGAATCTCATTATTACTATCTCCTCTATCCCAAAGAAAAGATCTATCTATTGCTCTTTGTGGACAAAAATGAGCCGCCATATTGAACCTCCTATTAGTATGCACAAAGACTACCTTCTGGAACATTTTCAACTAATTCCATTTATCCCAATCTTCTAACTGCAGCTTCCATAGTTCCTTAAATTGAAAATTCTGCATATGCTCTATGACACTTGCACTGTCCCCTTCCACAATGACCCCATTCAGTTCATACATCCATTCTGCAATCAGCTTACCAACACCCTGAATAGCCATCATCTCAACTTGAGTGCTGTCCCAATGACATATACTCCACCCAGCCGCAACAATTAGTTTACCATAGCTGTCCCTTATCACAATCCCAATTCCTCCAGCATTTGATCTAAGCAAGGCTCCATCAACATTGATCTTCAACCACCTTGTAGGGGGGGGACACCAAGAAGAATGTAAACACAATCCAAAGGATTGAACAGTGTCCCGTTGCTCCAAGTGAAATAAAAGACCATCTTGATTAAGGCTTTCTAAAATACTTGCTGCCATAAAAACCTGAGTAGAGACCTCCTTTCCATGTTTCACCGCATTTCTATTCAACCAACAATGATAAACAGTAAGACAATACAACTTCATACCTATGTCTTTGGACTTGACATTCTCTTCCAACGCCACCTGCAGAGCAGAAAAATCAGCAAACCGTGGGGTATACAAACCCCAACTATCCAGAATATCCAAAATTTCCATAAGTTGTTTACAATCAGTTGTAATATGGTTCAAATCCTCACACATATTGCAACCCATAGGACATTTCACATCCACATCAAATCCCCGAGCAAGAAGCCAACTATTGGTTGGGACAATGTTTTTATACACCCTCCACCAGAACATACGCACCCTTGGCCTCAATCCAGCCTTCAGGATTGCACAACATGGATCATCTTCTCCCAGAAAGCTGCTGTTATAAACCATAGCTGATATAGTAGATCCAATTGGAATTTTCATCAGCTCCAGAACGTCTTCATGCAGCTCACTCCAAATTTTCATCTCCAGAATTCTGTCTTCTCCAAAACAGATAAGAAGTTTCTGTTTATCCCAATCTCCGGCCGGTGAAATAAGATCAGAAACAGTCCGATCTTCCAAAGCTGCTATGTCACAGTACGTCGGCCACAATGCTATCGATCTGTCCCAGATCCAAGTATGGTTTAGAATGTTAATGTCCCTTCCATTACACACCTTCCATCTAACACAACAAGCTAAGCTGTTTGCTCCATCACAAAGAATTTTCCACACCGTCGAATCACCACGCTTGAAATCAGCAACCCATGGCCAGTTTCCATACTTCTGTTTCATACATCTATGAAAGAAACTTGTAGGTTTGCTGATATACTCCCATGTAATATGAGATCTTAAGGGTCCAACCCATTTAGAATTTGCATGAAACCCAAGTCCCCCCATCCTCCTTGGTTTAGAAAGACTTTTCCACGAGGCATAATGAATGCTTTTGTGGTTCTCATCAATATCCCAGAGGAATCTTTTACAAAGTTTCTCAATATCATTTAAGATGGATCTCGGCACAAATGAGTGAGTCACTGAATAAATAGAAGAGGGTAACAAAACAGAATTTCTTAGAGTGACCCGTCCAGCCAACGATAAATGTCTAATTCCCCATGTCAATTTCTTAGACCGAGCCTGCTATACTAAAGGAGCAAAGTCTTTCCTTGCAAGTCTTCTCAAAGCAAGCTTGAGACCCAAATATTCCATCTCTTCCACCTTCCTGCAACCTGTGATCTTTGCAAGACGAGACTTTGTAGAAGAGGAGGTCGATTTGCTAAAAAGTATAGCAAACTTGCTTTTATTAGCCTTCTGACCAGTCCACGAGCAATAGTCCTCTAGGATAGACGTCACCTTCTTCACATTTGGAATAGATGTACCTGCAAAAATGAAAATATTGTCAGCATATAGCAGGTGGGAGACCAGAGGCCCCCCCTACTAATTGGAACACCCAACTCCTTGAAGTTATGGTGGAAATAGGCAGAAAGCAACTCAGAACAGAGAATGAACAGGTATGGTGACAATGGGAACCCCTGACGGAACCCATAGTCAGCAAAAATCCCCTCCGACAGTTGCCCATTAATTAGAATAGAGAACCTAGGATTCAGCACACAACTCAGCACCCATGAACTGAACTTAGGAGGGAACCCCATATTCCTCAGAACAAGCTCCAAAGTTCTCCAGCTCATCTTATCATAAGCTTGCTCCATGTCCACTTTCAATGCTAATAACCCTTTGGTCGCTTTAGAAACCTGAAATTTGTTCATCAATTCTTGCCCCAACAAGCAATGATTTGAAATTGACCTCCCCTGAACAAATGCAGCCTGCTCCTCAGAGATTCATCTTGGTGGAATTCCTTTGAACCGATTCACCAAGACATTAGCCACAATCTTATAGATTTTTTGACACAAGCTAATAGATCTGAACTTTGAAGGTTGATCTGGATTATTCACCTTAGGAAACAATACCACAACCGTTTCCTTCCATTGTGGATCCATAATACCAGACTCAAAGAATTCCAAGCAAGCCTTCATTACCTGCTCCCCAACAATGTTCCAGAAAAACTTGAAAAAGAAGCCGTTACCCCATCTCTTACAGGTGCCTTGTTCCGGCCCAAAGAGCAAAAAGCAATTCATATTTCTTCCCTTGTGACCTCATTCTCCAAAATTTCAGAAACCTGTTCTAGACACCTTCTTTGGTCTTCAAAAGAAGGCCATCCACTCTCAACAACTGCATTCCCATGCCATTTCATCTCAAAAAAACTGTGAATAGCCCTTGTAATCTCCCCATTCTCAGTTACAACCGTGCCATCGAGTTGCTTAATGGAGTCAATGCATTTAGCTCTTCTTCTAGCCAATGCCATGGAGTGGAAGAAGTGAGTATTACCATCCCCGTTCTCAATCCACTTCACCCTAGCTCGTTGTCTCCACCAAGTCATAATACGAGCAAGTGTACTATTCAATAATTGTACCTTGTATCTCAATGTTTCAGGTTGAATATCATTCAACCCATTAGGAGAACATTCCAATTCTTGTAGAGCTTTAATTTCTCTATCAGGATCTTCCTTCAGTTGATTAAGCATTTTCAGTTTGTTCTTACTCCAAAAGAACAGTGCTTTCAACATCCTCTGGAATTTCTTTTGAAGTTTATGTGACTCACTACCCAAGTCCTCCACCTTCCATTTCTCCGATACTAAATGCCATGCCATTGGGTAGCTAGCCCATACATCTTCAAACTTTATCCAATGAGAATAATTCCTCTTCACTTCTCCCAATATACAATACAGGATGGGATGATCTGAAGCAAGTATGGTGAGAAGCATAACCTTCAATCCCTGAAAAGCATCAAGAATTGGAGAAGTTACCAAAAAATGATCCAGTCTTGAAAAAATTCGGCTCCTAGCATCTTTGTTATTAGTCCAAGTATAAGCAGGACCCGCGAACCCAGGATCAATCAAGTCATTTGCCAACATGAAATTAGCCATATCACTTGTAGCTGGAGAAAAATGAAAGGCCTTGCCTCCTTTCTTATCCTCCTGCGCCAAAATACAATTGAAGTCCCCTCCAACCAACAAGGGAGAATCCAAAGTGTGATTTTTAGAGATAATGGGAGGATTTTGAGGGAAAAAGAATGCATAGATACTTTTTTCTCATTCGAAATCATTCGAACAATCGGCTGATCCGATCGATCCCGTTCGTTACAATTTTTCTTTCTTCATTCTGTCTTCCTCTATGAACCTTCCAGTCCTATCTATATAGAAAGTATATATATATCTACTAATATTCTAATTTAGAATATATATACTTATATAGAATTAGAATAGAATTCTATCTATCTCATAATATGAAGTTCTATTTTAGAGAATAGATAGAATATAAGATTCTAAATAGAAAGAAGATGAAAAGATAGAAAAATCTATATATATAATAGAAAAAGAGAAAAGAAAGAGAAAAAATGATGAAGACAATAAAACCATTGTTACGTTTCCATATTAAAGTAAAGTATAGTACTTCATTTTTTTCTTTATCTTAATGCCTTCCAAAAGTACCTTTTCGGAGTCCTGGAGAGGAAGATGCAGCTTGGGTTGACGTATAGTGCGACTTGTCAGACATATTGGTCATATGGTATTTCCCCGTTATCTCCCCCGATCGAGTATTCTCTGTTTCGCCCAATCCAAGAAAGATATATTCAATATTGTATTGATTGAATCATCAATAATTCGGAGCGTGAAGCACAATAATTCCTATTGGGGATCAATATTCTCAATTCAAATAATTGATGGTTTACTTGGACTGATAAAATAAAGTATCCAGGCTCCGTTCAGAGAATACCAAATTGGAAATGGTAAGAGTAAAAGTAAGTAAAAGTAATATAATGGGAGTGTAAATGTAGGTAAATGTAGTAATCTAAATAAGAAATATTAAATAAAGAATATAAAAATATAATATAAATTTAATGAAATTCTTAATAAATTCTGAACTTCATTAGTAATGAAATAGAATATAATAGAACTTACTATAAATAGAACTATAATAGAATCTTATAATATAATCTATTATGTAGAATAGATGATGATTACACGATTACCGCTTTTATCATAGACTATTCTTATACTTACTATAGGGATTATATAAAACTGCCTACCAATGGAGTAGTATGATGAATACATCGAATATTTTGGGGAAAGGTATCAAACAGTGGTACTGGAATCATTTGACCTATATGCGCAAATGGAATTCGGGAAAATCTTCCCCCGGAGTAGAACAAGAACCTAAAAGAATTGAAAGGGCCCATTCAGGAACAAGAAAATTACATCGTTATTTGAATTTCGATGAAACAATACATCAATGAGAAGTTAGTTCAATAAGTTCATAAAATTCTTTTTTCTTTTTTACATGAGTTTTGCCCTCCTTCCCATTCTAGAATGTAAAAAAGGAAAAAGAAATAGGACTGGAATCGACACATTGATTCTTTTTTTCGCAATTCTTTCGAACCGTATGCATCCAAAGGTGCACGTACGGTTCCTCAGGGATACAATTTTGCCCTAATCAACCGACTTCATCGAGAAAGATTACTTTTTTTAGGCCAAGAGGTTGATAGTGAGATCTCGAATCAACTTGTTGGTCTCATGGTATATCTCAGCATAGAAGATGATACTAGGGTATTTGTTTCTAAATTCTCCAGGCGGATGGGTAATACCAGGAATAGCCATTTATGATACTATGCAATTTGTGTCACCGGATGTACATACAATATGTATGGGATTAGCCGCTTCAATGGGATCTTTCATTCTGGTCGGAGGAGAAATTACCAAACGTCTAGCATTCCCTCACGCTTGGCGCCAATGAGTTTTTTTCTTTGAGAAAAAAAAAGAATACTATGCCTTCGCTGTATCGAATATGAATCAAATAAAGAATAAGTAATAATAGCATGGCACTTCGAGTTCGATATGAACAAACCATTATTGTTTTTTTTCTAACATGAGATTTTGTATCGAGATAGTAGTATGAAAGAAGAGTTATTCCCAAATTGATTTATATGTGTCAAGCAAGAGTCAATTTCAGCGTCACAAACCATTATTCTTCCACACCAGAAGTATCTTTCTTCTTTTTATGTTATGAGAGAAAGAGTCAAAAAAATGGAAAAAATCATTTTGGATCGTATCAAAAAGAAACTTTGGGATTGCTAAACCACAGACGAGATAAATAGAGAAATATATAAAGCAACAGAACCATCATAGTATCTTTTTTCCTACTACGAAAGGAAGGGTGGTAAATGGATCATTTAACGATTTGGATCGGATGGGTTCTATTTTCTTATTTTTGATAGAAGAAATTCTATCATATCGAAAAAAGAAATTCCATTGCAGAGCCGTATGCAATGTACAAAAGATGCCCGTACGGTTGTTTAATTCTATTTTTTATTGTTCTTTTAATTCCCCCTTACTTAACCCAATCGTGCGATATATAGATAGGAGAACCGTTCATGATGTTATATCAATATCATCAGGGTTATGATTCACCAACCTGCTAGTTCTTTTTACGAGGCACAAGCAGGGGAATTTATCCTAGAAGTAGAACTATTGAAGCTTCGCGAAACTCTCACAAAAGTTTATGTACAAAGAACGGGCAACCGGGTTATATCCAAAGATATGGAAATGGATGATTTTATGTAAGCAACAGAAGCCCAAGCTCATGGCATCGTTGATATTGTAGCGGTCGAAAATGAAAAGACTTGGGATTCCATATAAGAAATACACGAATTCCTTTGAAAAATTCAAATTTTCCGTGTGAATAGAAATCATTCATAATCATCAACCATCAGGTTAAGATCGATCTAAGCCAACCCGCTCTATTCTATTCTATCTAGAATGAGATTCTATAGACACGCCATGCCAACCATTAAGCAAATTCTTAGAAACGCAAGACAGCCAATACTATAAGTCCCATTTTGTCTTTAGATTAGGTTCGAGCCCTCTACCTACTTCGGTGGAGCTCACCTTAAATCTAGGGTCTGAGGCGGTTCGTTTAGTTACGACGTAATTCCTAACCTCTTAGGCATTCCCACGATCTTGTGTCATCGGGTCATAAGTCCTAAATTTCTAATAATTTGAACAACTTTCACACTTATAAGAATTTCTGAGAAGCTAATTCAGTCCTTCGCGGATAAGTTAGCTTCTCCATATAAAACATAAAGCCCAACCATAGGATAGACTGGAACACCACTGGTCGTCCCAGTATCCAGCGCTCCCTACCCTTCTTCCTTTGGATTCTGAAAAGAATTGTTCCTCTTTGATCTATCCCATTTGGAACTCCTATCGAACATCCTTGATATCCAAACTTTGAAACTTCATAGGGACAAAAGTCATGTGCTTTAATCGAGAGTATTGTTAGGAGATAACCTCTCCTAGGATGTAAATAACCACAGTGGCTTCCCCTAGTGGGGAACCCGTACCCCATAAGAAACGAAACCCTACCTTAAACCCGTAATATAGGGGAAAAATCTCTGGTTAACCAGTCCCATCGAGCCTTGGAGTCCTTATTAAGTGATTAGACCCACTCAGAATTATATTTCTGCCTTTCAAGGGGGTATACAATTCTTAATGCCGTGTCCAATCACTCAAATAAGGAAACCTTCAAGATCTGTGTGGTGGTCCAAAAAAAGAATACTTCTGGCGACTCCGCTGGGGAGGGTTTCTCTCTCCATCTTTAGCATGTTGCTTATGTCCCTATACATCGGTAGTGTGTCTGTGCCCCTTGCAGACCAAGACTACCATTCGTCCGTTGGTTGCTATGTCCATTTCATTCTTGGGCATATGTGGCAAGCATCTGGAATTCCTAGTTCTAATACTGCTTATTTCACATAACCTAATAAGATGGTGTTAGATCAAATATTTGATGGAAGTGTAAGAAACTCTTGGTTAATAACAGCCGTGCTGAGTCAGAATGCTTTCACCAGCTGGACTTCTAAAGTCCCTTTCCTAAGAAAGATTCCTCTTGAATTTTTAGTAGAAGATCGGTTATGGGTTTGTCTCCGTAGTTTAGTCAGTGCGGAGACAAAAGTCAGAAAACCCATTGAAATTACAGTTTGAAATCAAGTTGTATTCATTTTTCCTTCGCTTCGACAGGAAAGATGTTGTCTGGAAAGCTGATTTTCTCGTTCAAGAATGGTCTAAACTTGTCACTGGACCAAGGTCGCCTTGCCGACGGATCAATCATGAAGTTTGGTCTAGGATTCGAACACCTAGACATGACCTCTGGTGGTCTAACTTTTGATTACTATTGATAATAGGGCTCTTGCTGATAAGAAGTCCATTCTGGAATTCAACATATCCTCAGAATACGAGTTCCCCACTTTAAAACGAAAAGCCGTTGAAACTTCAGCCGCTGCCAAGACTGTTACTCGTCCCGCTAATATAAAATTTGTTACCACGTCTTTCCCGCCTGCTCAGCCTGAGGGAGTAAAACCCAATGGTAGGATTTCGGCAGTGCCGTCTGTATACGAAGTAGGTTCTTCTTCTGCAATAGTTCCCCTGATAAGAGCACAAAGAAAGAACCGAAGTAAGAGACTGAAGAAGATTTTGGAAGAATTGGATGAGCAGAGGAAGCTAGTTAAGGCTGGTTTGGAAGACTTAGGTGACGCTTCTGGTTGTCTGAAACTTTCCCTCTCTTGGGTGGTAGCAGATTCCACCCCCTCTCACTGCTCGAGGTGAGGAAAATGTGAGGAAGATAGCTAGGTCTCCACCACTTGCTTTTCAAGATGAAGCCGAATCCTCTAAGAAGAGGAGACCCCCATTTGTTGGTGCCTGTTCAGTTATCCAGCGGATGGCGGATAAGAAAAGAACCACTAAGTCTGAGATTATGAGGCGAATGGGCCGTGCAGTGTCTGATAAGGTCAAGGCCCATATCTTAAGAAAGCCAACTAATGACAGAGGAGCAACTCGTCCTCCTCGCAGAGAAGTGAAGCGATATGCTGATCTGTCTA